GAGAGAGAGAGAGAGGAGAGAGAGACAGAGACTGAGAGAGAGTAGCTTTTTACATTTAATCTTTCTAAGCCTGGTATGGTGGTATATATCTATAATCCTAGAACTCAGAAAGCTGAGGCAGAAGGATTACAAATTCCAGGCCAGCTTGTGGTACCCAGAGGGTCCCAGACAGCTAGAGCAGTGAGATTCTGCCTCAAAAGCAAGCAGGAAAATCTCTTTCTAACTTAAATTATGCTCTGGCAATGGCTCCAGAGTCAAATTGCTTTTGCGGGGGGGGGGGGCAGATTAACTGTATTTTGTTCCTTGAATTCCTTTGCCCATTTATTTAAAATATTCATAAAGGATACAACTTCCACATTTCCAGGCTATCGAATGCCAAGTAGTTTCTCATAGTAAACAAAATTCCCAACAAAGAACTATTAGTTTTAGTGAAAAATAAATAGAAAAAAATTGTAAAGAACCATGTCCCTCCATTTCTCCTCCCAAGCAGCAAGCAATTATGTTGAGAAGCAAAGGCAGTAATTGATCTTTTGGTAAGAGGACAAGAAGATTTTATTATTGGGGCTGGAGTCACTCTTGCAGTGGACCCAGGTTTGGTTCCCAACACCCGAATGATGTCTCACAACTGCCCATGACTCCCATTTCAGGGAACCCAATACCTCTTCTGGCCTCCACTGGGCACTGGGCACACACATGGTGTACAGACATACATGCAGGCCAAAATACTCATACACATCAATAAATAAGTAATACTAACGATAGAAAGGATTTTATTGTAAACTCATTTGCCATATATTACCACCCATTTACAGACAGGCAGTTTTCTAATGATTGCTACATTCCTACCAGACACATGGTTAGGACACCCTTCCCTCCCAGATAAACTTCACCCCAGCCATTATTGCCAGACACTCATGCCCTCCTCCATTAGATATTATTGTTCCATGTTTGATTCTAGTTTTGCTTCTAGGCAGTGAGGTTGTTGAGAGCCGTCTACTCTATATTTGTGCTAATGGTCTAAAAGTGTTGCTTAGAAGGGATGCTGCTAGTTAGCAGTTTCAAAGCCTGCTCTTTTTCTTAGCATGCTGAGGCCTGATCATTTGTCTCTTTCCACCATTTTTCTCTTCATGATGTCCTGACAGCTGCGGCAACTTCTTTGCAACAAGTTGACTCCTTTGAGCTCCTGGAAGCAAACAGCAAAGGTAATGGCCTTCAGTTTCAAGGCATGATGTACCAGCTTTGTGATTTTTCCCTCTGTGTCATCTGTGGCTAGCCCTTGTTTTTCCTGCATGGTGATTTGGCATGGTGCCCAGTCAGGGCTGATGGGTAGATAAAGAGCTACAGAGTAAGGAGGACCTGGGCAAATGCATAGGAAGGCTTGAAACCCACAAGACCTATGGTGCGGGGGCGGGGCTGCTGGCGATGTAGGTCTGTGCTGCCACTGGCCACTGGTGGCGGCCAGAGTGTTCAGAGACTGTGTGAGTCCCACATTAGTGTGGTATTCTCTACAGAGAGTGCTGAAAAGAATCTCAAGGTGGGTCAATGTGGAGCACAGTTAGGGTTTATTAAGAATACATATTAATGGAGATTTAAGCATGGGAGAGCTGGAACAGGAGAGTGGCACACAGTACAACAGCTCCTCAACACAGTCGCATTGTAGTCTTAGCTATAGCCATCTAGACAATCTTGGTGACTTTGGAGTTACATAGTTCAAAAGCTTTTAAATATTAGGCAAAAATAACATTCTCGTATACTTATTTTTAGCTAAGCATTTTTTTTAACAAACAAGATGGTAAGATGTTTTTTGAGGTGTGCTATATAGGTGAGTTAAAAACAGGTTAAGAGCTTGGCGGTGGTGGTGGCCCCTGCCTTTAATCCCAGCACTCTGGAGGCAGAGACAGAAGGATCTCTGTGAGTTCAAGGCCAGCCTGGTCTACAGAGTGAGTGCAAGGACAGGCTCCAAAGCTACACAGAGAAACCCTGTCTCAAAAAACCAAAACCAAACAAACAAAATCCTCAAAAACTAGAGGTTTAAAAAAATTTAAAGGAGCTCAGTGGTAGTGGCACACACCTTTAATCTCAGCACTCAGGAGGCAGAGGCAGGCAGATCTCTGAGTCAAGGCCAACCTGGCCTACAAAGTAAGTTCCAGGACAGTCAGGTCTACACAGTGAAACCCTGTCTTGAAAAAACAAAACACAAAATGAAACAAACGAATAAAAATATTAAAGGAATCCTTAGTATGCATTGGGCACTGTAAAGTGACACTTTGCCTATAAATGTCATTTATAACATTATTCGTAAGATGCTTTGATTCCCAGCCAGTAGGGGTGATTTCCATTTCATAGTGGAGAGAACAGCTATGGATGTAAGCAGCAGTAGCCCACCTTGGTCACTGTGCTTTGACTTGTACCTCATTGGCTGTAAGTCTGAGGAAAGTTCTATAGAGGCTATTATGTCTTGAACTCAAGTCGCTGGGACCAGAAGGTGTGGAACCTATGTTCTTATATGCAAAGCAGGAAGTTACAGAAAAGAAGACACATCGGTGAATAAAATGAGGTGGGCATTCCCTACCCTGCAGAGCAGGAAGCCAGTGTTTTCCTCATTGAGAACCAAAGACAGAAAATAAAACAGAAAGGAAAGCTCAGATGCCTGGCATCGTTCCTCCCTGTTTCTGACATGTCATGTTAGGTGGTCACTAGACAGGGATGGTCAATGAGGGAGGGCCTGTTACTCCTGGGTGCATGGCCCCTCCCTATTTTGATTCAAGCTAGGTGGTTAAAAATTGGATTTGTTTGTTTGTTTTGGTTGTCTGGTTAAATGATTGTCCTTGCTTCACTTCCTGTTTCCTGTGATAAAATATCAGGAAAAAAAGCAACTTAGAGAAGAAAGGACTTGTTTAGCTCACACTTCCAAGTTATTTGTTACAGTGAAATCAAGGTGACAGGAGTCCACAGTCAGGAAAAGAGAGGGGTGAGGAGGATGACAGAGTGGAGAGAGAGAAAAAGGGGGGGGAAGATCCAAAGTACAACACTCAGGAAAGAATTCAGTTTTACCCAGGTTAATCTGGGTGTGTCAAGCCAATCAAAACTAACCTGTACAATGGTTGTCTCTGTCTCTGTCTGAGGGAATTTGAATGAAAAAAAAAAAAAACCCAAGTACCCAGATTATGGATTATTACAAAGTAAATAAGAGATAGGAGCTGGAAAAAATGGCTCAGTGGTTAAGATCTCATAAAGTTCTGGCAGAGAACTCAAGTTCTGTTCAAGTCTCCCATGCTGGTGGTTCACAAAAGTCCCCAACTCCAAGGAGCTCGGTGACATCTGCTGGCCTCTGTGAGCATTGCACTCTTGTTCACATACACACAGCCATAAACATGTCTACCTAATCACAAACAATAAGAAATAAGACCAATGTTACTATCCAGGAGCTTGTGAGTGAGAAGAACATGAGGAAGGAAGGGGACTCAGCATAAACACAGGATTAAAAGCAGTGGGCTTGTTAAAATGGTGGGATTTAGAAAGCAAGTGAGTGAAGATAATGGAAGCAAAAGGATTCCCCGGGAGACAGAGTCAGAAGCAAAATAAAGATGGCGAGAGTGTCCTCTTTTCTCGACACAAGGCCTGTCTGACTGAGGGAACTTGAGCAGATACAGGTTGGAGTCATGATGCTGAGAGTTCACTGGAGGAGGGCAAAGAGGTGATGAGGTGGGAATCTACAGAAGGACATTGAAGATATAAACTACGGCAGAAGGGATGGAAGAGGAAGCCAGCAATGTTCTCAGCGAGGACCATCCACTCTGTTGCAGAGGTTGCTTGGGATATGGTCATTGCTGCATCTGTGTCTTCCTTCTTGGTTTAGCTGCCATGTCATATGGAATGAAAACGGGAATGGAAATTATTTCTTCCAGGATTCCTAATGCCCGAAACAGTGTGTAGCCAACAAAAGCTCTCAAAAAGAGAGAGTGCATAAATAAATATTAACAAATGGAAAAGGGTGTTGAGTATCTGGACACTATCATACTTCCTAATGTGTGCTGGCTCTTTGCTTAAAACATTTTATTTCAGCCTAATGGCTCAGTTTTAATTTTTAGAAAGTATTTATTTTACTGTATGCATATGACTGTTTTGTCTACATATATGTAAGAATGTATTCTGTGTGCATGCTTGGTGCTCTCAAAGGCCATGCATACCCTGGAACTTAGAGATCCTTGTAAGTCACATTGTGGGTGCCGGCAACTGAATGCAGTTCTCTCAGCTGCTGCACCTCTCTCCAGTCTCATGATTCAGTTTCTAAATCATTGCAGCCTCCAGAGTCTTTCTACCAACACGCAGTGCACTACTCACACAACTGAATGCTAAGTTATACAAGAGTAAGGCGAAGCTGTACCAGGGGCTATGTTTACAATGGACATTTGTCTTTTCAGTTCTTCTAGTGGCAAATAAATGCACAGATCAATGAAGTATAAGCATGGATATGAAAAGGGGTAATGTTTCCTTCAATGCCACTTTCTGGCTGGTTCCCGGAGATGTAAAGATGCAGAAACACAGTATTCATTTGGCAATGAAGTCAGGCATTTCTAATACTTTAAAAGACTGATGAAGGAATAAATGAGTGACTATTCTATATTCTTAAAAATAGAATCATAGCCTATGTACATGGAATAAAAGGCTGTTAGTGACACCAAGAGTCACGAGATGAAATGTTGAAGACAGGCAGAGTTCATTAAGGAATAATACAAGGCACTCTCAAGCATGGGCACGGAGAATGCCAAGACAGATCATGGTGGAGGGCCACACTCTTATGGGGTGAGAGTGGGCAACAGTCAGAGAGACCATTGTTGAAAACAATGCTCACAGGGTAAGAATGGACAATGGCCAGAGAGACCATTAGGAAGGGCTTAACAAGTTGAGATCTAAGTGTGTACAGCAGCCAAAAGGACCACTGTGCCAGGCTTAATACTCTTACATAAAGTTGCTGGGACTGATAGCTTTCTGGCTGGGCATTTTGCTATGCAAGGATTGAAAAGGGAAAGAAGAAAAACTCTGAAGTAACTGGCAAACCTGATTTAATTAACCCTTTGGGAGCAATGAATGGTATGTCCATGGTATTTTTTGCAACCAGGCTTCCTGCTTGATAGTAACTATAAGATATTCTGGTTTTCCATGAAGCCATGCTTTCACCCATAGTCCAGACAAAATTCAAATTCCACTCTTTGATCAGGTAGCAACTGGATGTGGCAGTACATGTCTTTAGTCTAATGCCACCATACAAGAGGCAGAGGCAGGCTGATCTCCATTAGTTAGAGTTACACAGAGAAACCCTGTCCTCCAAACCAAAACCAATCAACCAACCAACCAGCCAACCAAACAAACAAACAAAAACAACTCAAAAACAAAAACAAGAGGCATTAAGGTTGAGATAAGTCTATAAAAACTTATATTTTCCCAAGGGGAAGTATCTTCCCTTGCTGAGCCATAATAAAGCCACCTCCAACTTTTCCTTGTTTAGTCTGTAGCAATCTTTAAAAAAAATTTTTTTTTGAGACAAGGTTTCTCTGTGTAACAATCTCTGGCTGTCCTGGAACTCACTCTGTAGACCAGGCTGGCTTTGAACTCACAGAGATCCACCTGCCTCTGCCTCCCAAGTGCTGGGATTAAAGGTGTGCACCATCACACCTGGTTATATTTAAAATTGTAATGCTCCTTTTCTTCTTAAATGTGATCCCCGAATTTACTGTGTTAACAGAAACATAGGACATGGGTTCCCAAACTGCATTATAAAGGATTATAATTAACCAGGGCTATGCAGGAGGAACCAAACCTCAATGACCTTCAAGTCTGCTGATTTCCAACTAGCTACCTGACGTAAATTATTTTGTTGTTCTTTTGTGCAGCAAAACTCCTCAAATATAGTTACCAAGCCTAAAGGCTTAAAGCCTTTCAACGTACTACAACACAAAGGTGAGTTACAATACAGCCAGAGGATATAAATGGTAAGAAGACAGGTTTTGTCTATGAAGAGAATCTGATAGTAACTATTAAAAGATGGCAGTATCAGCTGGCCATGCACCTGAGTTCCTCCAGCTTGTGGTCAGGGATGATAAAGCAATACTGGGGATTTGTATTCATAGGCATGTACACACACACACACACACACACACACACACACACACACACACACACACACACACACACACACACACACGTAAACACACACACACACAGACACACACACCTGCAGCACTGATCACCAAGGCTCTAGGAATGAGGAGTATGGTTAGACCAGACTACTTACTGGAGAGTCATCCCTCTTACGCCAGCCACTGAGCAGAAGACATGATGTGTGCTCACGTTCAGGGATGGACACATATTATTTTCTAAACTGACCCGGGGGAGGGAGGCAAAACACCTCAGGAGGCTAAGAAAGTATTGTTCCTGCCTGAATTCATATACTGATGACTTCTGGAAATTTAAGTGCTGTGAAGTCACAGTACTGTTGGAGAAAGGGCAGAACATGGAGGAAAAGTAGAAGAGATATATGGTGTTTAAAGTTAAGGTGTAGCCATACTTAAAAGCTTCAGTCCCATTTTACATCCAATTATGACAACATCATTAATTAAATACATTTTAGAGCCTCATCAAAACTACATTCTAGCCGTGGAGTACTTAGTTCTAACTGGGACATCTATATTATACCTTCTCCTCTAAAATCTCAGGGATCTTCACGGGATAGGGAAGAGAAAGACTGTAAGAATCAGATATAGTAGGTATTGATCCCAATCAGTATTTGTTGAACATAGTGGGGTCATTGCGCATATAAATTCATAGCGACTGTGACTGCATACACAAGACTTTCTCGAAATCAATAAATCCAAACTTTCAGCATAGCTGGAGAAAGGGTATATGGGAATCCCTAGCTGAAGAGTCAGTTTTTTCCTAAAGGTGTGGTCCTTGAAAGGTTGCCTCTATTAGCTACTTTTCTATTTCTGTGACAAAATATCATGACCAAGGAAAATTAAAGAAGAAAGAGTTTGTTTGGGCATATGGGTCTGGAGTGTTAGAGACTACGATGGTAGAAAGGAGTGGCAGATGGCAGGATCTGATGCTGAAAGCAGAAGCTCACATCTTGAACCACAACCAGGAAGCAGAGAGTGAACTAGAAATGTCATGAATCTTTAAATTCTCAAAGCCTACCTCCAGTGACACACTTCTTCCAATAAGGCCACACCTCCTTACCCTTCCCAAACGGCACCACCAACTGGGAACCAAGTGTTCAAACGCCAGAGTTGATGGGAGACATTCTCATTCAAATCACCAACCACGCATGTCCAGTAGATGGTCCTACACCCCTGCACATATAGAGAGTACCTAATGAGTTCAGTAGATTTTAAAACAGAGCACATGAAATTGGTAGGGAAAATTGGAGGACAAGGTACAAATTGGAGGATGGGAATAGAGAGGATTTGCTCACAATATATTATTTGTAGGAATGAATTTCTCAAAATAGTAAAATGGTTTAACAAAGAAAAAAAAAAAAAAACCTCAAAATCCAGATACAGTTCAAGTGTTGAAAAAAAGTGTCTACCTAGCCCATTACTTCCTGTTTTCACTGCCTCCAGACAGACAGAGTGCTTTGAACTCTCCCTTTCCAGACATGTGTTCCTCATGGGGCAGGGGGAAAGACAGACAACTTCCAGGGCTCTTCCTGCAAACTATGCATTGAGTTGAAGTCTACGTTGTTATCTCAATTCCAGCAGTAACTGAAAAACATAGTATTTTTCATGTGTAGGGGATGATAGCTGACAAACACAAGCTTCTATGGTGTCAGTAAAGGGCTGTCCCTCTCAACCAACCGAGCATGTCCTGCATTTTTCCTTAGCTCCATCCTAGATTTAGCCTCAGTTTAAAGACAGTCAACAGGCTTATTTTCATTTTGTCTTATACTGGAATCAAGAATAACAGCAATGACTTACCTCATCCTCTTTTCTTTCTTCAGGCATGTATGCACTCTCTCATACTGGAGATTCGTCCAATGAGATCACATTAACCCAGTTTTTGTCAACGGAATAGAGCCATGAGTCATAATCAAGGACACATTTTCTTTGAGCATGTCCTCAGGGCCACATGGCAGAGAAGACGTGCACAGCATCAGATGAGACTTTGTGACTTAGGAGTCTGGTCACTGTGACGCTGGAATGGTTCAGTGGTTAAGAGTACTTGTTGCTCCTGCAGAGGACCTGGGCTCAGTTCCAGCATCCTCCTCCCCAAGTCTTGGAAGTAGATTATGTGGATATGTTAGAAAAGATGGGCCACCAGGACCAAGAGATAGCAGAAGTAACTAAGGGAAATCTTATCATCCTGCAAAGAAAGGGCCTCGCAGAGAAGCAAGTCTCACATTTTCCAGGCAAGAGTCCAGAAAAACATCTCTAAATATCTAATTCTATCTGGAGAAAACAAAAAGACCAAAGACCAAAGACACTGACTTTGACCGGGTGCTGAAGACCATTTATCCAGATCACTCCAGAGAGAAGCAGGAGTTATCCAACTCCACCCCAGGCACAGGATGCCCAGTCAGGGTTCTGTATTCTGTCCCTGGTATAAACGGTCAAAGATCTGAAACACCAGATGTTTCAGAAAAGCCACGTTCCTAAACCAGGACCATTTTATAGCTTCCTTCTAGATAAGTGTAGCTCTCACCCCTCATCAAAGAACCTTCTTTTTGTAGAAGACAGAAAGCATCATAGAAACCCACAACCGGTCAAAATCTAGGAAACAACAAGACTCCCAGGTGCTTGTCGCCAACCAATTTACAACACAGCTCCTACACCCAAGGCCAAGGAACATTGCAGAAGAGGGATGGAAAGAGTGTAGGAGCCAGAGGCCCAGGGCGCTATCTGCTGTGAGACTGTATCTTAGGAAGAGGAGGAGGAGGAGGAGGAGAAAAGAAAAGAGGAAATGCAGTGTGAAGTGTGGGGGAGTAGGGAGGGGGGGTGACCCGGGAGGAGCTGTGTGGTGGAGTGGGGAGTGACTATGATCAAAATATATTGTATGGAACTCTCAAAGAATTAATACAAATTCTATGGTATTTTTTAAAAAAATGTAAAGTCCAGACACAAATTCCTTCAACTCCATTACACATGCACAGATAAAGTGGGTACCCAGGCACTTCGGACCCTAGCAGAGATGGGTTTTAGCAGGGCCCAGACCTTCTGTGTGTATCTGGGCTCTGAAGCAGCTTGATTCTGGTGACACTTTTCCAACACGTCCCTTTGTGACTCATCACTCATGTATGCTCTGTGGGCCACATATTAACTAATCCTGCTTCCTTACAATACAGCTCCCTCCAGCCCACACTTGGCCTTAGAAACCTTTAAAAGTAGGGGCATCCTTTGTCTTGTGGGTCCCAAACTTAGCCTTTGGACTCCTGCGATGGCCTGTTGCCTACAATGAATGACACTCCCACCCCATGAGACAAGATCAAGCCCCAGACAGACAGCATGCAAGTGTGTGTGCCCTCCTCTTTCCCTTCCTAAAATCTAATAACACATACTAACACATCTGTGACTAAAGCAGAAAGGGGGCTATTTGGAGGAGTGGGAGCATAGTGTTTAGGGAGCCCATTTTTGTGTATGCTAAGTAACACGTTATTATTTGTAATGTTTTTAAATGTTTATTTTAACTTATGTATATGGATTTTCTTCTGCATACCACATGTGCTTGCCAGAAGAGGGTGCCAAGGAGTTACAGATGGTTGTGAGCTATCATGTAGGTTCTGGGAATTGAACTTGTGTCCTCTGAAAGAACAGCAAGTGCTGTTAATCCTTGAGTCATCTCTTCATCCCCGGTAAAACATTAATTATTTTTAATTAATGAAAATTTTAAAAATTAGAGGTTGTTTGGATTTTGCTTAGCCTCTATGTAAACTCTGGATTTTTGAAGAACTATGAGGAAGAATCAGTTTTATTCCTCTGCTATTTCCAGGGCAAACAAAGAGGCTGAGAGACGGCCACTCTACCCGCTAGAACGCGGCTCAGCCCAAAGCAGGCTTTTGTAGAAACTCCCAGACCGGCTTCCGGAAAGACCATGGGGCTTTTGCAAAGCTGCTGAGCTGAATGAATTGCAGTTACTCACATTGAACTTCAGGGGGCAGGCTGTGACCAGGAAACTCAAGCAGACACCTTGACAGCCTAACGGCACCTGAGAGCCTCTCTATCACACAGGAGTATGGGGGGCAGGGGTGTGTGTGGGGGGGTGTGGGAATGTGACTGCATCTTTGCTCTGTTTACTAGGAGAGATTAGGAAACTCAGAGCACAACAGCCCAGCGAGTGGCCTTTTCCCAGGTTTGTGCCCCAGGGTGCTGGTAAACAGTGTGGCCCAGGTCTTCTAAGCAAAGGAGGAACTGACCACTTTCTGCAAGCAGTTTTCACTGGCTGGAAACCAGCCTGTGTGGCAGGGCTGCACCTTGGACATCTTGTGCAGACACAGGGTTAAAAGACCTTAGGCCACACCGATAGAGCCTATCTTGTGTTTTACAGATTGAACCTACAGTGGTCATATTGCTCTTTTTGTAGGTTCAGTTTTGTTCCTAAGGCCAAACGAGCATAAACAGGTGATTTGAAGCCAGAATAGAGATTTATAGCTCAAGCGCTGCTCGGGAGAGATCAGGGCTGCTGCGCCATTAATGCCTGTCCTACTGTGCCATGAGCAAACGTGACCTGGGCAGGAGAGGGCTTTTTTCCCCTTCCTGGTACCTATTACAGTCCTGATACTAAGAAAAGCCAAGGCCTGAATTCAAGTGTGTCGGGAATACAGGGAGTAAATTTAGTTGTGGCTTGCATTCGTGGCTTGCTAGTTTGCTTTTTTGTATATAACCCAGGACCACCTGCACTGGAAGTAGCACTAGCCACTGTGGATGGGCCCTCCTTCATCCATCATTCACCAAGAAAATGCACCAGAAACTTGCCAATCCGATGGGGACATTTTCTCAGTTGAGGTTCCCTCTTCCCAGGTGACCTTAGTTTGTATCCGGTTGACAGGAGAACTAAGCAGTATACAGTGCCTCAACCCTCTGTCCCAGGTGTAAGGATTTAGGCATTATGCTGGCTTGCCCTGTCACCTGGCAGAATGCACTCAGGCAGTACCCTAGTCAGCCCAGGGTTCCATGGTTTATGTAGTCTGCACACAGGTGCAAAGGAAAAAAGACCCCGCCCACTTAGGATCTCTTTCCAGCGGTTCCCCCGGGGCAAACAGGACTTTTCCTGTCTCCTTCTCTTCTGTCCTCGGTCTGTTGTCTCTTTACCTTCTTTCTCTTTCCTCCCCCGGTCCCTCCCCTTTCTAATAAAACTTCTCACTTGAGCTCTGTCTGCCTGGCTTGTTTGTCCCTCTGCGTTGGTCAGCCTCACCCGCCATGGAATCCATGCAAGGTTCCCTTCACACTAGGGCTTAACACTAGGGCTCAGGCTCACCCCAGAGACATGAGATGGTAAACAGACTCGCCACCTCCATCTCTGCAATCACTCTCCCAATGCCTTCCAGCCCTGTCCTCCAGAGCTAGATAATATACCCTACAAGAGCACACATATACACACTCATGGAAACGTTAAAAATTAGGTCTTTAACTTTGCTCCTGAGGAGACTTCATTGCATGCTCCTTCTGGCTGGCTCACACTCTCCTGTGTAAGTACACTAGTGAATAAAGACGATTTCACCTGAATCCCACCTCACTTTTCCTCACCCTCCATCCCACAGCTAAGGCTGTTGTACTCGAAGCCCTAGCAGGGTCTCTCTTCTTCTTCCTGCTTTGCCTCAGAGAGCAGCAAAGACTGCGCAGCATGCCCGTACAGCTTTAGCTCTTTTGGGTTATAAGTGAACGCGCGGCTCTCTTTAGAAAGATCTCATTCCTTCAATGGGTATGGTGACACATGCCTGTCATCCCTCAGCTCTTTTGAGGCTGGAGCAGGAGGCTCATGCATTTGAGGCAAATCTAAGCCACACAGGTAGACCTTAGCTCAGACAACAACAGTACATTATTTCTAACACCAAACCATGGGGTAACTCACCACCACCACCCACACGCACACCAGTCCCAGATTCTGTGTGAGTTCGCATGTGTTTGTGGTTTGGATTGAGCCAGTGCTCTCACCCATGCCAGGCAAGCATGCTACCACACTACCCTCAAGCTATACCCCAGCTACACACACACTTTAGACAGAATCGCATTCATCCCAGACTGGCCATGACCTCTCCATGTAACTGAAGGTTATTCTTGGTCCTTTTCATCTCTACCTCCTAAATGTCTGGGTTACTGGGACCACAGCATGCTAACAACAGTATGGAGAACTCAGGACTTCATGCATGCTAGGCAAGCACTCTACCAACACAGTTGCATCCATAGCTCATTCTAGATTCTTCTGGAAACTGGGATGAGGTGGAAAGAGCTGAATCAGGAGAAAACTATAGGAAGGGTCTCATAACTCAGTTATTACTGCTAACTATATAGTAGGCCCACGTTTTCACCTGGTTTGAACCTAGCTAAATGAACCAGGAGTCCATTCCACAGACTGACTCCTGAGAAATGACTTGGAAGGTTCTCTCTGGGTCAGAGAGACCCTGGGAGACCCACACCAAACTTCCTCTATTGTTTCTACTGTTCAGTTTTTTATCTGTGAAACTGCAAACCTGCATTCAACAGATAACCTCAAAGGTCCCTTTGAGCCCCGCCATTCTATGGTTCTGTATCTCTTCACCATTAACACCCTGGGAGAAGAGAAATTTATCACCAAAGATTACCAGCCCAAGTGGGGTTGGCAAGACCTTATCTTGCTGGGTAGGAACCGTGGATACAAACACTGCCAACAGCTATGTTATGCCAACTGCATGGGAGGTGACACCCTATTGGAATTCTGACCTGGAGCCCTGATCCATAGCAGAGGAGCTCCTTGTTGTGATGTGCTGCCAAGGGACACATTGGTTTGTGGATAAGGCTTCCTGGTTCTTAGATCTCAGCCATGTCCCTCACCAGGACCCAGGGAAGGCAGCCTGTGAATTCCAAAACAGCACACTGCCAGGCTCTGCCAAGGATAACTGTGCGGTCTGAAAGCTTCACCTGGTACTGGAGATAATGCGACTGTTT